AGCCCTCACCTGGAGGGGCCAGACACCAGCTGGTGGGGCTCCTTGGTGGCAGGGGCAGGGATGGGGGTTATTTCCTTCCCTCTGTCATCCCACAGAGGGGACAGAAGGGGCTTATTCCACTGCTCAGCAGCAGCAGTGCTTGGGGCAGGCAGACCCGGGTGTGGTCCTGCAGGGGCAGTGGAGGTATAGGGGAGAATAACCCCCCTCCCTGCCCCCTCTGGCTTGGGGGCCACACTGGCCCACCACTGTATCAGTGAGTGTGGAGCACCTAGTGGACCCCGCTCAGGTCCCTGCTGGTGGGACAGGGAAGGAGGAATTAAACCCTCTCTGGCCAGTTCAGCCCGGGCTGGCCATGCCACCTCCTCCCCCACAGCTTCTCTACAGCTGAGGGTATACTCTAGCACCCCTCAGTTCCTTGCCTGAGCAACTGCAGGCATGTGACCACATTGCCTCACTACAGAGGGACCATCTGTCCTATTACAAACTGATTCAACCTAGGCAGGTTAGATTAACCTGCAAAGGTTGAATCAATTCAGACTCCAGCTATTTGAATATCTGTCCCTAGCCTAAACAACACAACCAGAGTATCAAAGCATCCCAAAGGCCTTACCATGTCTGAATTAAAATGACAAATGGACACAGCCATTTTGATTAAAACTACATGGTTCTGCCCAACTTTCTATAGACCTGCCTTCTCTGCCCCATATTACTGGAATAGAAACTTTCAGGAGTTGTTGAAAACTCTGACTACTTAATACTATGTCTAGCCAACCTGTTCAATAACAGCATTCAGATCATTAAAAACAAACATGAAGACATGGTCCACATCCTTGGCCCCTGCCATGGCTGCTTTATGATATTGTAAGCATCATAAAGCTTCTGGGGGATTCAAAAATGAAACCGAATAGAGGTGTAGCTGAAGATTTAGTTCACGAACTTTGAAAGCCTGACATGACTCCCATTTTGCTTAATGAGAAACCTCCACTTATTTCAATAGGACTTGAGGCTGTTCCCTTAATTAACAAGCCTGATTATCAAGATAGTTGATAAAGAATCACTCTTACAACCTCACATATCACATTTAGGGCACTGTGACAGTTAACATTCATTCTAGGAAAAAACTGATGAAATACTTATGTTGTATTTCTGTGCAAAGAGACAACATGAGCTTGAAAACCAAATCCACTAATGAAATGAAAGAATCTTAGGAATCCTGGATGATGGAACTCTAACAACCTACTGATTTGATGGTAGAAAATAAAATTCCAGTTGTGTAGAATCTGAATGTAAAAAAGGACTTGATTAGGAGAAAGAGGCCTATTAAGGGCAAGATTAGGCCACCTTGCCTATTTGGATTTCAGTGGGAATGTTAACAGAGAAGAAAGCACTACTCACTGTAAGGAGGAAGAGGAATCTGGCTTGTATGGTCAGCACCCCTTAGAAATTAACATATATTAAAGATGCAAAAGCACAATGATACCTCAGAAGAACCCATCCCAACAGACTCATAACAAAACCATTCATTACATTCAAAGAGGAAGAGAGATAACATTATAGGAAGAAGATCAAAGTACCATAAGTACGCTAAGATAATATGATCTAGATTAAATGACTCTACAGTGGGTATAAAACTAGTACATAATCCTGCTCACAGAGTAGCCATCAATGGCCGATCTCCTAACTGAGGGAAAATATCAAGCAGGGTTCCCAAGGGTTAAGTCCTGAGTCAAGTATTGTTCAGCATATTCACTAATGACTTCCAGTAAAAAATTGAGCATACTGCTGTATTTACTCAAATATAAGATGATCCTGAATATAAGATGACCCCCAATGATTACATTGTATATATGAAAAGTGTATAAATTAGTTATATTCCAGAATACACAATCTAATTACTGGAGGTCTGCCTTGAATTTCTCCCCCTTCCACTGCTACAGGAGGGAAAATGAATCTGGGGACAGGGTCAGGGAATCCTCTTGCCCTCTGCTTCCCCAACTTCTCCCCACAGCCTCACCCCCGCCCCTGCCCCCAACATATTCTTACTGTCAGACCCTGCTTTCCCCGAGCACATGAAAGGGAGGAACAAATCTGAAAATACTGACCTTGAAATAAGCAAATCTATAGTAATTTGCATATAGACAAATTGCTACCGGTACCCATACCCAGACTTAGTTCCTCCAGAGTTGATACATTTTACCTTATTTGAAACTGCTACAAGTTTTAGGACAGGTACTCTATAAACACATGTTTAAGCAGCACTTTTGTACTTACTTTTCTATAATACAAACTATGTATGATTTCAGTCTACAGCCAAAGGCTCATGATTTACCATATAGTTCATTGATCTGGCCCTAGCAGTCAGCAGCATTTCAAACCATGGTGACCCCACAGCTCAGCACTACTCAGCATTTGTTTGCACTCCAGACATCCCCCCCTCCCCCAAAGATCCATGTGCTAATTACCACCCCCACTCATGACTGGATCTGAGTATTCTTGCTATTAGTCCTAGAATCCACCAAAAAATGTATATGCAGATGAGGGGCCATCTTCCAAAACACTGATGAAAGAAATTGAACAAAACTGGCCCCAGGACCAACCCCTGGGGAATTCCACTTGATACCAGCTGCCAACTAGACATTGAATCACTGATTACTTTAAGGCCAACAATCTAAGCAGTTTTCTACCCACCTTACAGTCCATTCATTCAACCCATACTTCCTTAGCTTGCTTGCAAGAATGTATGTGGCTGGGATGGTTTAGTCAGGGATGATCCTGCCTTTAGCAGGAGGTGGACTAGATGACTGCTTCCAGCCCCACTTTCCTATGACCCATAGAACTCCCTCACCACATAGCAACTCATGCTTTACACACCACAGCGTGAAAAAGTGCACAGGAAGCTTTTTACCACCCTGACTGGGATGAAGTTTTACCTCCATTACATAAGAGGACCCAGTGGCTGCAAGCATGACAGCAGCATGTCTGAAGCAAATCTGTTCATGAGTCTGTATCTTTGTTCTCATTAGAGCTTGTAGCTGTGTTTTATTTAGAGATGGGCCTGACTGTTATCAAAGATCCAGACCTGATCTTTGGGAAGCTGGGATCTGAATCTGTGACTTACCCTGCATGTAGCATGGTCCTGAACTGGAACAATTCCCAGAGCTCTTGGACTTTGGAAAAGGTACGATTTCCATTCCATTTCATAGTTGCAGCTTGCCTTGTTTGTAAAGTGCCTGGGAGACTTCCAGTTCCATACAAATACCCACGGCTTCAAACTCACCTTTGAAACTGCTGGAGTTCAAATGTGAGGCTTACGTTGGCCAGGTGGTGAATTGGCACCGGCACACCACCATAAAGTGGGTCCATGCCAGGGCTAGAGCCGATCCCGGCTCTTCCTGGACCCGTTGTTTTTTGGGTTTTTTTCTTTTGTTGCTGCGGCATTTTTCCTCACCACGGTTTCGCTCCCACCGGGCTTCTGGTTCTCTTCAGTGTCCCACCGGCTCAGAAGCTCTCTCTTTCAGAGTAAGTTCTTTCTTGGGGCATTGCCCCAACCACAGTTTCCATTACTGAGCACGTGGTGATTTTGGCAGCAGTTTAATGATAGACAGCATATTTAATGAGGTTTCCTTGTGTTCATATCTTAAGATGGGAGCTTCCCCTCCCCCCATCTCGCCTTATGTTTGGGTAAATACAGTAAATGGACAACAACTGACTTTAATACCTAATAGCATAATGAGATGTATTGAAAAGAAATACTGTATATGAGCCACAGAAAGTTATTCTTTGACTTTATTCAGCAGTGATGAGTATTCACTTTGAGTACTGGCATCACACTACAAAAAAAGAGGCATGGACAAATTAGAAAGAGTCCAGAATGAAGCAAAAAAACCCAAAAAACTAAGTCAGATGTCTAAAAATGGTGAAAAAATACTTGGATTATTTAGTCTAGAGAAAAGGTTGGTGGAAGGAGGATTTAATAACAGTCACTGAATACAAAAACAGGGTTGTTATGAAGAGGATGTTACTAAATGATGTCCTGTCCTCTGTGGACATACAGAAGATATAATGAACTTGCAGCAAAAAGATATAGGCTGGATGTTATGAAAAAGGCTTGTAACTATGAGGGTGCTTATGTACTGGAGAAGATTACCTAGAGAGGTTGAAAAATCTCTTTCAGGGAAGTTTTTTAAAATTTATATGAAACACAAAGTTGTTGAGCATGCTTTACACAGGAGTGTTCTTGCCTTCAGCAGGTGTTGGACTAGAGGCCTTCTGAGATCCTACCTAATTTTAATCTAATATGGCTATGGACATATGAATTTGAAGCGTTTCAAAGGTTCTTGGAGCACTACAAGCAGCAAGAGTGCAGACATTCATACCTGGTAAAGTGCTTAAAAATGGGCAAAGCACTTTAAAAATACCCTCTTCCCCTCTCCCAACCCCAACGCCAAATTAGAAGAGGAACATCTTTGAAACACTTTGTTTGGAAGATCTTCCTGAAATGTCTATGCCATTAAGTGGACCATGAGGGTCAGTGGGTTTTGTGGGATAGATCCACACCTGAATCAGAGTCATGAAGAAAAACAATAAATACTATGAACTGCTTGGAAGGAAACTCTACAAGAGGACCGCCATGAGTTTTCCAAGAGAACTGTGCAGTTTGGTCTTTAGTTCTTAAATATATACATGTGAGACATAAATACTATTTCACATTCTAATTTCTTTTCCATTCTATTTCATCAAGATTTGGCCCCCTATGCAGGAAGTACAGAAACCTGTTCTTCAAAATGACTGATATGCAAAGATTTTTAGAAAGCCAATTCTGGATTCAAGTGAAGACCAGTAAGGAGGAAAAGCCTTTCAGTGGAACTGGGAGTAATCCTATATGTGTGTCTACCCCTACACAAGAATATTATATAAAAATGTCTATGTGCTTTGCTTATAAAACTTTGGGCTAGGGTCCCAAAAATAGTACAACATACAAAGAATAAGCAAGAACATACCATCAGTGCCTCTTCCGTACACTTTTCCTTCTGCACTGGAGTACTGGGAAATTCCAGGAGGGATTTCACGGTCTTCTTTTTGGCTTTTTCCATTTGAACATTAGTAAAATAATTGACGGCAGCAAACTCAATAAGAGCAGAGAACACAAAAGCAAAGCAGACAGCTATGAACCAGTCCATGGCAGTGGCATAGGATACTTTTGGCAATGAATGCCTTGCACTGATGCTCAACGTTGTCATCGTCAAAACTGTAGTTATTCCTTCAAAGCAAAAAGACAAAGAATGTATCATTGCAGTACATAGGAATAAGAGTAAAAATAGGCAGGTGACTTCTAGGGAAAAAATATCTACACAAGCTACTTAGTATTCCTGAATTTATTATCATAAAGTCTATCATCATCAACAAAAATTCCATCAGCTTGCAGATATTAAGATGATAAATATTTAATTGAAAATGCCACTTAGACCATCTCACCAGCAAATAATGAGATAGGTACAACCCTGAAGTGAAAAAAATAATACTAGATAAACTTACATCTTTAAAGGAACATGCACCAGAACAAGTCATGAGGAAATCCTGCTGTGGGCAAGTTTGGCTTCGCACTGCAACAGTAAGAATACACTAGAGCCATAAGTCTGAGCTCAAAACTTCATGTCTCAGACTAGTGTTTCCATACTAGCAAAAAGTGTGGTAATCATAATGAGCTGAAGCTCCTGAATTTATTTCTGTGTGTGATCATTAATAGAGATGAGCTTCCCCAATATAAAACCTACTGGGAAAAAGGAATTATAGGAAAAATAAGTGGACCCTTTTAGGTTCACCTTATATAAGGTTATGATTGTGTCACATTCCTTGTGTAATCTATCTGACAGATGAAGAAAGACAATTACTTTCTTTAAGGATTTTATGGTAGTGTTAGAGTGATGTTGTACCTATGATGGTACAGGAATTATCTCTGAGGCAAGGATTTCTTGGGGTGATATCTTTTTATTGGACCAGCTGAACAGTTGGGATAGAGTTAGACAAGATTTCAAATGCAAAACATCAGGACATCAGGATCTGATGAAGAATGTCTTGCATTTTAAAGCTTGTTTAGCTCTATCTTAACGATGCAGTTGATACAATAAGACAGCAACCTAAGAAATCTTCAAGGAATTCACTAATTCTATACTTAATAAAAAGGTTGTGTCACTAATAAATCCAAACTCATGACAATATATTGTCACTAACCATAATATATACTTTATAAACAGCTAAAAGTGTTAGTACTCTTTGGACAGAACACATAGCACTATGAAAAGCCACAAGTAAATAATATTTTCTATTAAAAACTTCATATTGTATATAACATACTGGACTCCTCAGACAAAAAAGGACAAAATGTTCCATTGTGATCTGTAAGGTCAGCTTCCTGCAAACACCAACTGTGCATCACGTTTTTTGATGAAAAACCATACAGGAGGTCATACTTGATAGTCACTTCACAGCTTTGGATCTCTTCCCCCTTGAAGCCCAGAGACCAAGCTGGGACACCTTCTGAAAGCGATTTTAGACCTTTTTTATTTGGGCAGCCTTTTAGCAGGCTAGGTTAAGTTTGGTGTACTGTTTGAGAAGCCTGTTTTATTATATACTTTTTTATTTTAACATTTTTTCTGTTTTTATAATTTATTGGGTTGGGTTTTTATAATTTATTTTTTCAGTTTAGGCTGCCCTGAGCCTGTTTTAGGGGAGTAGCATATAAATCGAATAAATAAATGAATGAATAAATTAAAAATAATAATCTTTAACATTTCAGAATTAATGTTTTCCATAGTAATAAAACGTGTGTTCCTCTCCAATCTAATTTATAATCCAGATACTGTTAAGTTAAAGGAAACAATTTATTTCCTTGCTTAGAAAAACTGGAGTATTGTCATACTGACAACTCTGTTAATTAACAAGGCACCACCTAATCTTTTAAACCTTTCTGCTGGCAGTATGCAGATGAAACTCAATTAGGATTTTATCACCTGAAAGAGACCAATTTTAATTAAAATGAACATGCATGAAGGTTTCAGCTGCGTGCAAAAACTACTATACGAATACTTCAAATGCAAAACATAATGCAGCATAAAAACAAAGTTTAAGATCTCTTCCTTTTTTTTTTTAAACAAAGCATCCCCCCAAAAAAATTCAAGCCTCATAAATCCCACTTCTTTAAAAAATAAAATATGCTCATGTATATAACATATGCTGCTTAAATCCTAACATGACAATGTAAAAGTAATTTCAGTGACAAGTGAAGCTTTCTTTATTCTTCACTCTATTTATGGAAGAAAATAAAACCATGCACCTATTTTGTTTCAGTGTCTGATTCATACATTGAAAAACTCCCCCTCCACCCCTAAAATCCCTATATTTATATTGGATGGCCCCATTTCTTTTGAAAAGTAACAGTCTATAACACTAGAAGCATGGAAGTCTAATGCCTAAAATACCCCTGCAGACACAACTATACTGGGTAGAGGTACACAAGGAGAAGTAGTTAGCCATGTTAGTCTGAAGACAAGCAGAAGACAGGATAGATATATACCTTATAGACTTCATCTGATGAAGTGAGCTCAGGCTCCTGAAAGCTGATACTCTCTATACATCTTTTTTCGTTAGACTTTAAGGTGCGCATCTATCCTGCCTTCTGGTACACAAGGAAACCACCAATGCAAGCTGTCTGACAGATCGCATCTATGCAGCATCCCTACGTCTGCCACTAATAAAATAAAGCCCTGTCCACTTGCTCTCTCATCTATTATACAGCCAAGCAAGAGCAAATTACTTGAAAGTGGTCATAAGAAAGCCACAGTGCTCTGCTAGCCCAGCACTATGCTTTGCGTCTCCTGTGGGACTGACTTGGGGCCACTCCGGAGCCATCTACTCTGACTACTTCAGTGCATGGAAGTGGGAGTGAACAAGCAAACCTTATTTTGTTGGTGGTTGACCCAGGGTCAGGAAGGAAGCCATGCTGACATACTCAAACACTCAAGAGTAAGCCAGTACTACTGTATGAGGGCAAAAGGAGAATAAAGTCTCTGCAGGCTGCAAAATGGGAGGAAGCAAGACTCAAGTCAAACTCAGAATATAAAACTGAGGCTATTGTGAGTTTGCAGCTTCTTACTCATAAAGTTGCTAGAGGATGCACTGTGGGTGATGAGATTTTCCCAAAATAACTAGTCATTCAGCTAGTGAAGACATTTCTATGGAAACCATGGTTTCTAAGGAACATGACTATGCTTCCTGAGCTCTGTCATCTCTGTTTCTAGCCTTGTCCACTGTGTATGCTTCAAGCGAATGCTTTACCTGGCATTGCTTTAGTGATAAAAATAGGACAGCAACAAAACGTAAGAAAAATAGTATTATTTTCCCCTATCTCTTAAAGAGCACTGAAGTCCCATATTCACTATGTTCAGTTCTCCAGAAACTTCCAGGTACACAGAATCACATCGCCTAATATGCAAAATGAAACATTATGCATATTTTATTGTAATATTTTGATACCAAACTTTTTGCAAAATAGTACTAAGACTTTACCTTATTATTCTATATATTTCTATTATTTATTAGTGTAAAACACGTCTAGTTAGTATAGAACATGAACCAGATAAGGTAGTAAAATTCTCAGAGGTTTCTGTGGCTGGCAGAAACCAACTGAGTATGTCAATGAATTGGTCCCAAACAGTGAACTTTTCTTCCTATTGTAACTTGTTTTAAGGACAGACCAAAAATAATTGTGGCTTGATGCTTCCCTGCTGATAATATCACAAGTCATTGTCTTTTCATCAGTCCCTTTAGACTTTTCCTCCATTTCTCCAATAAGACACCTGACATGGCAGATTCTACAACTTCAGTTTTATCGTATGTCCCAGATAGTTCTATCTTCTCTTCTAATAACTGTAGAGATAAGGAATTTTTATGTGCCTTGACAAATCTCAGCATTTGTTACACATCTTTTCCCCCCACATAATACATACTATTCTTGAAAGCATTTGCTTTCAAGGGTGTTTTGATATCTATGGATACCACTGGTGGATTTTCAGTTTTTATATCAAGAAGTAAATAAGACATGAGTGGCAAATTTATAGTTTGTTCTTTAAGCTATCACAGCTGCCAGCTCATCAGTTGTGATGTTACTTCCTTGTGGACATAACCATTGGCTTTACTGTCACTACCACATTAGGTAAATCGACTCACCAGCAAACTCTTTGCCTTGTGCTATAATGTTTGAGTTGGGACGTAACAGTTATAGTTGCTTTATCATAACAGATTATCATATTTACTCAAATATAAGGTGACCCCTCAATAATTAGACACTACACATGGACAATTTATAATTTTTTTAATTAATTTTCCAGGTATAGAATCTAATTATTGGAGGTTTGCTTGAATTTGTCCACTTCTCACTACTACAGCAAGGAAAAATAAATCCTGGGGGTCAGATAGCCCCCGTGCCGTCTGCCCCCACAATTTCTTCCCCCTGCAGCCCCTTCCACCCGTACTTTCAGACAGAGGTACCCATAGACTTAGTTCATCCAGCACTGATGCATTTTACCTTATCTGAAATTGCTACAAGTTTTATCACAGGCACTCCATAAACACTTTTAAGTAGCACTTGTGCACCTACTTATGTATACTATGAACTAGGTATAATCTCAGTCCAAACCCAAAAGATTAATGATTTACCATATACAGTAGTTCATTGGGCTGGGAGCCTCATGAGAGTCAACAGCAAGTCAACCTATGGTGACCACATACCTCAGCAGTGCTCAATACGTGTGTACTCCAGATACCCCCAACAAGGATCCATGTGCCAATTACCCTCCCTTCCCTGCCAAGACTGGAACCAGGTGTTCTTGCCATGAGTCCGGGGATGATCAAAAATTTATATGCAGATGAGGTACAGGGCAACCAGCTCCACCTCAAGGAAGGCAGAGCCACAATAATCATGTTAAACAGGCTAAAAGAGTAGGTGACAGAGGGGTTCTGGTTGAACTGTTTGGGGCCCTGTTGGGTGATGCTTGCCAGACATTTCAGGCTGGTGAAAAAACATGAATCATTGAAAATGCACAGCTCAGCTGTGGGAATTAAAAGGAAGTTGAAATGTATTCAGTGTAGTGGCTCACTGTGACTTGGACTGGAAAACAGTCAGTGCTGAGGAGGACTCTGCACAATGGGTATTACCATATATCTTATTCAGATGAGCTGTACTAACCTATCCTTGTGGTAGGTTCCCATCAGCATCTTGGCCTTTTGGCTCAGATCAAGTGTGGGCATCCAAATCCAAAGATCTCCAGGCTTAGGCCTGCATGTAGAATACCTGGCAATGGATTTGGGAGTATCTGAAGTCCCAGGGTGAAAGCCTGGAACAGAGGATGCTCGCCTGTACTGCCATACATGATGTTTAGACTGATTGAGTTCTGCCTGCTCAATCAGTATGGTTTTTGGAACAATTGAGTTCTGCTCAATTGATATGATTTGGCTGATTTGACCTGGAACACAAAATATATTAATAAAAATTTTTTTAAAAATCTTGGCCTTTTGGCCAATGATGACGCATAGGGGATGCACCCTCTGAGAGCACTGATGCACCCTCTGACAGGCCGCGCTTCCCACTTAGGTGAAGAGCAGGGGGGGCAGGCAGGAGTGCCAGTGCCCTCACTGCAAGCGCCAGCCAAGGAGTGGGAGCCCCCTGCCGGTCGTTGACTAAGGTGGCACCAATCACCCATTCTTTTGGCTGAGATCAAATGTAGCAGCATTTCTGGCACCAAGGGAAGAGAGTGTAAAGGCTGGCTCTGGTCCTCCTGGTGCTGGCCTGGTATTATAGTACCTCCAGTGCCAGTTTCATGTAGAAGGAACACCTGCCCATTATTTTTCAGGGCTCAAAAAATGTTGCCCCATTAGTATGTTTCCCAGTGTGGGCACATGTTTCATAGTCATGCTCAATCCTGGCTACATTTAATCAGCTTCATAGTTGGCTTCCATTACTGAGCATATGTTGCTTTTGGCAGCAGTTTAATGATAGACAACGTAATGTATTTAATGAGGTTTCCTTGTATGCAAAGAGCTGTCCCCCACCCCCCATGCTGATTGGATAAAATACTTAATTTGAGTAAATATGGTTATTAATGCTGACTTTTTTGTGATGCTGGACAGTCTTTCAGGTTTTGCTTGCATGCTATCTGAGCTGTCACTTAGAAGTAACAGCTACTACTATTATTCTCTGAAAATGTACATATAATAAGTCTCTTGGTTCAACGCTTTCTGGCTGATTAATCTCGCTTCGGAATATGGTACAGAATAGAATCAAATGTTGAGAAAGACACCTGCTTTATGAGACTGCTTTACCACATCTGGGTGATTTCTTTTTCCTTTCTTAGGAACCAGATTTCCTCCGACTTTCATGTGCTTTGCCTTCCACACATTTTATTGGTTTCATTTTCAGCATTTGTTGTAGCATCTTATTTCAAATTGTATTTTAATGTGTTTCATTTTAATATCTTGTAATCGTTTCCTTAATTGCTTTTTCAATTCCATTTTAAATGTGACGGAAAGATAAAGGAGAAAACATCACTAAACATGAAATTATAAATATAGGGACTTTCTCCCAGAAAACTTCCATGGATGTCAAGGAGATGTGCATATGAGAGTTGCACATACACACACATATCCTAATGGAATTAGTTCAGTGGGATTTCAATTGGAGTCACTCCAGGAATGAAAGCCCACATCCAATGGAAAATAAACCTGGCCTCTAGACAGACTAAGGGCTTGATTAGGTGCTCAAAGTCAAATAGTTCTCCCATTTGTTTCTTACGAGTCCTCACAAAAATTAACCTAGAATACTCAACTATTTTCCCCTTCAAGTTAAAGATTCCAAATTTTCCTCAACAGTTTAGTGTAGTGGTGCTCAACCTTTTACCCAGTGGGCCAGATGGGCAGTGCTTGATCATTTTGTAGGCCAGATCCAGCTGGTGGACCCAATCCAGCACCAGAGGGGGCTGTGGCTGGGCCCCATCCAGCCACACAGAGGGGAGGAATGGGGACAGCCTGGCCCTGATCCAGCCATGTGGGGGAAGGGGGCTAGGACTGGCCCCAAACCAGCCCCATGGAGAGAAGGGCATGTGATCCATCTCTGATCCAGCTCCATCGAGGGAAAGGGTATGGCCCAATGCCACAGGAGGAAGGGGGCATGGCCAAACCCCAACCTGGCCAGGCAGGAGAAGGGGGCATGGCCGAGCTTCAAATCAACCATGCAGGGGAAGGGGCATGGTCCAGCCCTACAGGGAGAAGAGGGTGCAACTTGGCCCCAACCAATCCACACAGAGGACAAGGGGCATGGCATGGCATGGCCTTGATCTGGTCATGCAGGTGGAGGGCTGTGGCCCAGCTCTTACCTGCCCTGCAGCACTTGGGATTTGGACATCAGGGAGGGATGGTAGCTGTCACTGCTCCCCCACCACCAAATTTGCTGACCTATGGGGAACCCTGTGGGCTGGATTCTAAGGCTCCATAGGCCACATTTGGGCTATGGGCCAGAGGTTGAACACCCCTCATTTAGCGTTTCAAATTATATATTCCTACTATTTAAAATTAAGTTAATAAGGAAAGACCCATCTGCTTTGAAACTTAGTTCATTCTCTCATGTTACTGGAGAGACTTTGGAGATAGCATGCATATGGTGCCCCAGAATGGAGAACTATTTTTAGTTAAATCCATTACAACAAGAAATACAATGACATAAAAAGTATGAAAGAAAGATTATAGTTACCAAACACAGTCCTAGCTGGAACAGATTCCTTATTTATCCAAAATGATACTTGAGAGAGGATCACAGTCATAATGCATGGAATATATGTCTGAATCATAAAATAACCCATTTTCCGTCTGAGGTGGAAGTAAACTGTCATAACAATATATTCACCTAAAAAAAATAAAACCAAAGGAAAGTTATGTTTCTGCCCCTCCGTGCAATTCTTCGGATGCAGAATAACCGTTTCAGACAGATAGCCATGATTAGATATGACACTAACTTAAACATTTAGCAATTCAAATAGTAAATAAAGAGCTTCCTTAGAAAACAAGAATGAAAAGAAGCTTAGTATCGAACAGAGATAACTGTAATATGTCCTTACAGTGCCATTCTGTAGGCACAATGTAAGAGACTATAATAGTAACAGATCATGTTGTATTATGTTTTACGGAATGTGCAACTTAAGAGCTCTTTTGCCATCTAAAAAAAAAAAAAAAGGAAAGAAAACCACTCTCAAGGCATAAATGTCTATCTACCATTACTCTGGATGCAATATTGTAATGTCCATACCCTGTAACTAAGTGCAATATTACAGTATCTAGATTTTACCTATTGATACCTACTAATTCGTATGGAAGATTAACTGGTTTACAACAAGTTTACATTCTAGTACTGCTTTCATAGTTAAATCATCTATACTGTGTACTCTAGTGTTTTTAATATTTTACTTGCACTAGTTTAGTCTAATATCACATGAAATAGGCATTATTTTTAGAAGCATGAGAAAAATTCAGAGTGCAAACCAAAAGCTGAGTATGAGCAAATTAGTTTTAAAGTCAATGGGAAACTCTGGTGAATTCTGAATCAAGCCCACTCTTAAGATGACTATACATGTGCTCTGGGGTGAAGGGGGCTGTGTTTTAGTTAGAGTGGTTCTTGGGAGCTGCTCTAAAAAGCCCATAGCATCTTTTGTATTCAGCATTTCAAAACGGCAGCAGGGACACTAACTAAAACTCGTTTGCAGAGCTTTAGTTAGAGTTTCAGTTAAAGCGACCTCTCTGCCATTTTGGCAGAAACACAGGATGCTGAATACACAAGACGCTGCAGCATGTTGAAGTGCTCCGATTAGAATGCCCCAGCAGAACCAAGTCTGCTTTGACACATTGATTGTAATCAGAACATGTCGGAGCACATGTAAAAGTGCCCTTAGTTATCTAGGGGCTTGCAAGACAGATTGAGTAAGATGCATAGGTCCCAAGATTAAGATACATAGAAATGCTTAAAATCTCTATAATAGCAGGTCCACAGTAATCAGTTTAACTTAGTTTCATAGGCTCTGGGAAGGTAGAGCGGGAAGAGACCTCATGAAGTCATCTACTCCAGCCCTTGGCTCAGGGCAGAATTATCCCTGACTAAACCACGCCAGCTAAACTATAATCACACTGTTGCTTGTGCATATATCACTATGACAGAAAGGAACAAAATTGAATTGGTACAAAATAGTAAATTAGGCCTTGCTATATATCATATAAACCTATATATTTATTGAGTGATGGAACTCCTTAAGAAAAGGACTTGTTGGAAACCAATGAAGCTGTTTCAGTGATCAGTGGCTATTTCCAAGAGTAAAGAGTTTGCAAGATCAGTCCCAAGACGGTCCTAAGTCCTGCAGAAAGTACCTCCTTCAAACCTACTCCCTCTCCCAGTAAAAAACAAACCCTTATTTGATTAGTCTAGTCAATGGAAATTCCCTTCTAAAAACCAAACAAAATTTATAGGGAGGCAGCAGACCTGTTTGATCATCTATCACCTGCATGCACAGAGAAAAAAAGCAAGCATCCTGGAAAGTTTCAGCTTACTGCCTGAGACTGAAAATGATGTAGGGTCGGGGTTTACCTCGTGCAGCTCTGAGCTAGCATTCTGGATAGCCAACTCATGAAAAAGGGCTACAGAAACTGTTCTTTGAGGAGTAGCAAGGAACTGATAAGATCTGTCCTGTTACTTTCTAGATGATCAGCAATATGCAGGATATTGAGGAAATACAGCTTCATGTTGGTATTAAAAATACCAACAGAGAAATCTGTTGAGTACATTTACTCAAGCTGTTGTTTTTGTCATTATTCTGCCACTACCTTTCATCATAGAGTGCTGAAGTTCATTAGCTTAGTAATCCAATTTCACAACAAATCAAGAATAATATTTTTAAATATATATTATCAACAAACTGATCATCAGTGAGATTTCACTTATTGGGGCTGCCTGTTGTTTCCTTAAAAAAATCTAATAGAACAAAAGTCAGTTGCAATGCCTACTGCATTACAGCATTTGCTCTTACACCAATCTAAATACTATTTTAGTTTATGACTTTAATAACACATTTGGCATCTTATATGTTTATTCTGGATTGTCTGCATTGCCAAACAAAAGCAATTCTTCTCTGCTTAATGCAAATACAGTATTGAGAAAGTATTTCTACAGCCACATATCATGGCCTCTAACAGCCTCAGATATATGGCTTCTGACTCTTCAAATTACATTTTAAGCAGTTATTACAAACACTTATTTATCCACTCTGTCTGTGGCCTCATCCCAACTTTATGAAGGGAATTGGGATTTCACTGTAGTGAATCTGCAAATGAAATTTCTGAAGACAGAAAACCTAAATCTGCTTTATGTACTTATCCACTTACATTTATTCTAAAAGCCCCAGAATACCTTCTTAAAAAGTCTAAGACAAAATGTCACTGTTAATTCTATGTTACAAGCTTATTTTCATTTACAAGATTCTTACCTGTAATAGATTTAACAGTTTCACTGGATACAGTATGTCCAAGGAGGTCATACTGAACTAAACTGGAAGACTCTTTAGGGACTTCCACTGACTTCTCAGGTCCTTTTGTCCAAGTGTAAATCATTTCAGTCATTGGATATGCATCTGAAACAACATATCATTAATATACATCTATAGGTCATGTCTTATCTTGCTATTTTGAAAGCTTGATCCAAAGTCAAATGAAACCAATAACAAGACCGTTGCTTGCTTAGATCTTTAGTTAAGACTCTTAATGCTTGTGCTAAGGTATCTATATCATCACAGGAGAATAAAAAACATCTATGTTCATAGCCCTCAAGTGCATGGGATCACACAGAATTCAGTTCAGTGGGAATTCTACATGTAGGGTCAGAACCTAAATATGGAGCTTAAACTTTATTTTCATTTTTTTAACTCTTTGGAAAGATACTGATATTTTATCTTGTATTTAAATATAAAATATATTGATTCAATAGCAGTATAAGTTACAGAGTTTCTGGGGGGCTAGAGGGATATTTATTTGAGGGAAATAACATTTATACTGAGAATTTTTTTAAAGTATTTGTCAAAAATGTAAAGTCCATGAAAAATTGTCAGTAGCTAAAACATACCCCCAAGCCTCATGAACTATTCAAACAATCAATATGAAATCAACTGTCAATGTTTACCTTGAAATTCCTACAAAGCTGAGACTCTTGCTAAAACCAAATTCAGACCCAGTTTTTTAATTGAAATCAATATGTCCTATTTAACATTTCACAGAGCATAAGACCAGCTCGTACTGTCTGCCAAAGGCAATGTCTGATGCATCAGTTCAATTGGCCTGGGACTTCTCTGAAGAATTCTCCCTAGATAGAGGGAATCTCTGCTACTGTGAAATTGATGTAGGAGACTAGGGCTGTGCAAAGCTTCGGCTGCTGATTCGATCTGGAGGAGATTTGGCCCGATTCAATGGCCAAATCTCTGAATCCAAATCAAATCAGGAGACCAGTTAAAAGGTCTGAATCAATCTGGAAAAGATTCAGAAAGCTTCAGCGATCTGGGTAAGCCCCGCTGGCTGCAGCAGGGAGCTGAACCCAGACTCCATGCTGGTAAAGTAGGGGACAGGAGAGAGGAGGCTAAAGGAGGGAGGAGGGAGGAGGGAACCATGGGAGGAAGGAGGGGACCCCTGCCAGACCCCATCCTCTGCCTGCTCTCCCAGCCCCCCAACCCCCTCCCAC